TTTTAATGTTGTTGTTATTGTTATTGTTATTGTTTATATTTTTTTTTTTTGGAAACAATCTTATTCTATATTTTTACGCGTACGTGCTATATTATTGGAGAAAAAGCATCATTGGATCGCGCGAGAAAATCAACGCGTTCTAATTAGTGGAACAGTAGCATCATCATCATCACAGAACAAAATAAATTGACGAGAGGTTCATTAATAATTACTAACGATAATGTATTATAAAGATTCTTTTTATTATTCAAAGAAATGTTTGTGAGCTTTTTTGTTTTTACACACACATGGAATAGTTTAATTCCTTGTCAAGCCTTGCTTTATATACGGAACACCATCATCATTTGTTTTATATTAAATTTTGGGTTCTCACTAAATTTTATTAGCCTATTTCGTGTCAATGAATGATTATTAGTAATGAATTGATAATGAGCTAAATAGTAATGGTTATTGATCGAGTCTGTTGGATCTATAAAATATAATAAAGTTTCCATAATTATAGTCGGCTAATAATGAATCATTCATTCTGGAATTTCCCGTGTTGATGATAATGATTTGATAATGATTGTAATCATAAAACATAATATAATAAATAGAAAAGTACTAAAGGTTCCAAAGGTGTTTCAACTGGTACAACAAAAACTTCAAAAAGTCTTAAAGCAGGTATATTCATCATTTTACGTTTGCGTTTATTTATTTGGTTATATATATATATATATTTATAAAAATGATACATTCATTACTCACTCTCAAAATAATTATTTATCTTCAGGATTAACTTTTCCCGTTGGGCGTATAGGAAGACTTCTCAGAAAAGGTCGTTATGCAGATCGTGTTGGAGCAGGCGCACCAATTTATTTGGCTGCTGTCATAGAATATCTAACAGCCGAAGTCCTCGAATTGGCAGGTAATGCAGCACGTGATAACAAAAAACAAAGAATCATCCCACGGCATCTACAACTTGCTATACGAAATGACGAAGAATTAAACATATTGTTGAGGCATGTCCATATTTCCGAAGGCGGTGTTTTACCCAACATTCACGTCGAATTACTTCCTAAAAAGAAAGGTGAAAAGACAACCAGTAAATCTGGAACAACAACCGCATCTCCAAAGAAACCTACCAAGGGCGCTAAAACTCCATCAAAATCAACTGCTTGAGAATTTTTTTTTAAAAAAATTCAATATTCCTATATTCTTTTTTTTACTTTTTTCTTTGAAATGTGGATTACTTTTTTAATTTTTTTTAATTTGTAAATTTCTCACTAAAAACACATTAATAATTAATCATCTTTTTTTACTTTATAAAAGACAAATTTTATTAAATGAGAGTAGTGAGTGTGTGTACGTGTGATGAAGGAAGATAGAATAATTAATTAATTATTAATTACATTGGAATTAGAAGAAAATTATTATTAATTTGAAGAGAAAAGGAAATTTAATAAATAAACTTTATTTGATTTAAATAATTATAATAGAATCGTTATGTTATATATATATATATATATATATATATATATGTACGTCATGTATATAATGAACTGCCAAATAAACATATCCTAGATAAATAATTAGGTTTTATTTCTAAAAGCGCAAAGAAAATAAATATTGATATTTTAAATTAATAATAAGATTTTTTTTCACTTGAACTTTTAGAAGATTTTCTAACAGTTCTAACACCTTCAATAACGTAACTTAAGTCGTATTCATTGAAATCCAATGTTGATATCCCTTGATTAGTTGATCCAACGTATTCAAGACAGCCAGGCAAAAAACGTATAGTTGCAATTACATTATGTGAAGGTGGAGTATCTGCAAGTTCTATTTTTTCAGAATGTGCAAGAGCTTTAAAAATTAAACAATTAGAAAAAATTAGTTACAAGCACTATCAATTGGAACAAATTAATTATAACATCCATCTATCATTTCTATTATTGTTTATAGATAGATAATAAATACCTTTTACAATATCTGAATCATCAGTAAAAATATAAGTTCCCCAAGCTTTTGTACCGCTCTTTGATACGTATGAAGTAGTTAAATATTTTGATTCAATCAATACATCGACAATATCTCCAAGTTTACATTTGGGAATTGATGGATATTTGAACGAATCATCAACAATCTATAATAAATAATAATAATAGCAGTAACGTGTAATACATAAATATTAGTAAACATTGATTTTGTTTTATCAAAAATATCAATCAAATATATATATGAATGTATATATAAATCAATGATTTGTATTTTTTTTTTTTTACCTTTGATTTAACAGATTTAACAACAACATCAAATTTTGGTGATTCCTGACTTTTTAAAACAAGCAACAATTCATCTTCGTGGGTCACATAAATACGATCGTTTTCTTCATCAATATAATAGATATCAATTCCTCTATCATAATTTATATTAAAACGTTCCCGTATCTATAATGTGTAATTGTTGTATAATGATAATATATTAATATATATGACACATATATACGCTATCATTTTGTTATTGTTTTTATTCATACCTTGTATTCCAATTCTTCCAACTTTATGTTTTTATCGATAGAAATTTTACGAGTAACTGTCTCTATATTATTAGTGTTACAACTAACCTTGATTGCGATGCTATCTTTGTCCATATTTTTAATAATTTCTTTGGTAAAAAAATTGAAGTTTAA